TCTGCCATGCCAATACTGAGGATAGACATGCTATTTCTCTATTGTTGTTCATGTGTTGCACCACTAGAAAAAAGTGGACCTGGCTGCCTCACACTAGTCATGTTTATTTTGTAGCTTAGGAATCCTTCCATAATTTTTGGTTCCCTGTGATTTTCTTCCAAGGTTCTTTCTATTCATAGTATATTCCATAAGTTAAGCTGAAAAGAATGTGTATTTTACAGCCAGAAAATTATAATTTAAAACTTGGTATGCCTTTATTCATACTACAGAAATGACCCCTGAAAGTACAGCCTTATGTGTGCCCTTATTCAAAAAGTTCACCAACCTGTGATCCTCAGCACAGGCACTAAAACTGATGGTAATAATTTAACAAGCCCCACATAACTGAAGTACTAGATGATCCAAGTGCAGGCATACCTTACTTCAGCACTGCCCTGAACCTACCCCACTTTGTTTCTATGTGGGCACTCTACTGCCATTAACATCTTACTCTCCTACTGAGGGGTTTCTGTGTCCTGTTTAGTTTGACTGTTTGGAGCTTCAGGTGGATATAGGTCATACTTGAAGCTTAGCAAATCACTATTAGAACAGCTAAAAATAATGCCAAGAAAATAAGGATATCAGGAAATGAATCCTTGATTATGTGCTGGCTCTAGGTAATAAATTACAATTGTAGGAACACATCTTCACATATGCTATGTTCTCTACAGAATTTTCATTTCCAAGAACACATCCTACCTCTATTCTCACCCCAGCCTGTGAATATCTGCAAAATATACTCACAGACTCAGAAGAGAATTCCATAGAAGTTAGTTACCACTCCACCTGCATTCTCAGCAGATGCTCAATACTGATGCTTTAATTATCAGATATACACTTTCTCCACTGCACTCCTTAGTCCAAAATTAACCTATCATTCTCTTTCCCTTTCACAGGCTTTGGTTATTTCCTTCCTTCAACCTTACCATTTGACCACGTGTATATCTTAAAGACCTGGCTCAAATGTAACCTACTAGTCCCCACAATACCCTCAGACATCACTTTCTTTTATACTGCAAGCCCCCTTCAGGGTAGGCAGGCTCTGATTGGATCCATGTTTGTATTCTCCCTCCCTCATGTTTACTCTGGTCTTTATTTTACATGTGTAGATACTGTCTGCTAAATGAAATGAGTTAACAGCCAAGTGAGTCTGGTTTATACATATGAAGGCTGCATTATTAGAGGGACAAGCAGCAGTTGTCTACCACCCAGCTCAGGAGGGGACAGGATAAAGATCCACACGTGGTGGGCATAATCACTGGAGTAACATTTTGGAACATTAGAAATCACAAAAGGATGTGCTGTGGGAAAAAGATTAAAAACAGAACACTTCAGCCATAGAAGAGAGACAGTGCAGCGCAATCAGAATTATAATTCAAGGATAAGTCATAGAAAAAAGAAACCCAAAACAGTGTAATTCCAAAGACACCACAAAGGAAGAGGCCTGGGGAAACTTCTAATGGCATTAACACTGATGACAGATAAAGAGGTGGTAGTGATTCAAAGGTTCCTGGTGAGCTCTTGGCAAGTAAAATGTTAAGGCATGAGCTAGACTGAAAAAGCTGAGGTATGAGTAAGAATGACAAGAAGTATAAAATTATTCTTTCAAGCAACTTGAGAGAAAAAGAAGATAGAATCATAGCTCCAAGAGAGTTAAGAAGCACTTGTGAATATAAAATACCACAGAAAAAAGTGGCTTTGCAGATAAGGTATGGCAGCAATATACAAACGTTACCACCGCTACATCAAAGTCACAATGGAGCGAAAAGAAGACTTGGGTGTTAGTACAATCATGCTGCTTAAACATGGCACAGTCTTGGAAAATTATTTTCCATTCCCTTAGCTAACTCATCTGGTTATTCTAACAGAAGTAGTTAATAAATGGAAAAGAATCTTGTAAGAGTTTAGCATTTTCTACAAAGTATTACTAGTGCAAGAGACAGTTTGTACGCTGGAACAGATACATGTTTGTCATTTTGCAGTTGCCCTCATCAGTGTGACAGAAAAAAGCTAAAACTCCCTCCTGTCCAGTATAACCCCAGCAAAGAGACAAGACAATGACAAAGAGACTGAGAAAAGTAGGACAAAATCCAGGTTTGGAGAGTTAATGGTGACCCCTATAGACTGTGCCACTCTCCTGAATAAGAGATGGTAGTCATGGGCTCCCTTCCCAGTGGACAGAGAAATGCCAAGAGCTCCTGAGAACTGTCAATCTGACTTGCCTTGCAGGAGCCTTTTGCATTACCCCAGAGTTCCTGGTCAGTGAAAGGTGTTAACAACATCATCACAGACCTCATGTCTGTCTTAAAAAATAAAATAAAACTATGAACTGAGATAAAGTATATTTATTACCCCTTGGTCATGTAGTTTTGGGTTTTTTCCTCCAAAGAAATGCTACAAGTTAGTGATTTTCCATTCAAACCATTTCCTGAAGACTTTCAACATGGAACAGGAGGCTAATTTTGAGTAGGGTCATGGTAAGGTTCAAACATTTGTAAGTGGGACATAGTATGGAGATATATTTGCAACAGAAGAAATAGAAGAGACATTTCCAAGTCATAGGAAGCACATTAAAGTCACAGATTCTACCAAAAATAAACAGAGAAAAACTAGACGAAGTTCTTCAATTAAAGCAGTTAAGAATGATCTTCCTTCACAAAACAGTACTTACCCCATTCAGTGTAAGGAAACAGTGAATTGAGATTTAAATTGGTCAGTGATGCCAGTCATCCACATTTATCTTTAGGACACACTGTGGATGTTTTTGCTAATTTTAAAAAATCATCTCAATTAAGGCCAGGTGTGGTGGTGCAGGCCTGTAATCCCAGCACTCGGGAGGCTGAGGCAGAAGGATTGTTGCAAGTTCGAGACCAGCCTGGGCTACAAAGTGAGCTCAAGGCCGGCCTGAACTGCATAGTTAGGCCCTGTCTCAAAAAGACCAATAAATAAATAAATAAATAAATAAATAAATAAATAAAATGAAATAAAATGTATATCACTTAAGGTAGCATTAAAATTAATTTGTATTCTAGCACCACTGGACAGACTATCCAGATGACCCTTCTACTAAAAAAAAAAAGCCTAACAAAATACTAGAGAAACTCACAAGTAGAATATTTATAAAAACTGAACAAAAATAATACAAACTACACTGCGCTTATTGACAGTATTCAAAAAAAATCACAGGGAAAAAAGCAGTATCAGTAAGTAAACAAAACAGTGGCATTATGCCATATTAAGATGCCAGAGGGTGAAAGAATGTGGGATTATACATAGAAACTCACTATTAAAAAAGTTGGCCTGCTCTGCTGAAACCATCAGGGTGATTGTAGAGAAAAGTGGGCATTCCTTACAAAGTAGGACAACATGACAAAACAAATATGCAAGACATTCATTAATGCCTGTATAATTTCCACATACATAAACTCAATAGCAAATTGTGATGTACATATGTATAATGCAGAACAATGAATGGACAGCAAAGAACTCTCTCTAGGACAGTAATGATCCAATCACCATCAACAATTCAACAAATATTTATTAGGTACCAGGATCTCTTCTCCAGTTGAAAGTCCTATAGTAAACATGACAAAAATCGTGATCATATAGAGCTTACAAGAAAATGATTTAAAATATATGACCTTGAGCAAGACATATATGTGGGTGACCAAAGGGTTTGTTATGAAGAAATAAAAGGACTGCTCAAAAAATTGAATATATAGCTATATATACATAGAGGTATGCAGAGACAGGCACGTAGATATAAAATGAAGACTGCTGATCACAGTGAAACTGAACATATAAGTAAATATAAGCAAAATGCATTCTTATAATCCTAAATTATTTCTGCTAAATGCAAATATAAGCAATTTCTTTTCTCTAATATGAGCTGATGACAATATTATACATATGAGCCAAAACAACTCTTTGATGACGACTACTGCTATAGCAGTATAGAACCACAATGTGCAACTACTAAATTCAGATCAATAAGCTGGGATCTACTGGATCAAAACCTAAGAACAAGAGAATATACTGATAAACTTACTTATCTGGAGAGATACTCCAGAAACAGGAAGGCGCGTGAGTACTGATTTACAGCAAGGGAGTTATTTCAAGTATGGATACTGTTATTAAATTTAGGCAATTATCGCAACATATGGGATAGTTTCACGTACTGAGTCTAGAAATTTGTTGAAATGAGACTGTCATTTTTCCAGTCGACTCCTAAGTAGTAAGCAGGATCCATTTGCCACATTACTAGTGAATTTCAACCGTTACAGAAGAACGGAATGCTCCTGGCGCAGACGCTCGCACTTTAAATAAATGACTGTATAAAATTGAAGTAAACAAATATATATGCTGACATCACGCAAATATCAGCACTACACAAGGAAGGAGAAAGACTTGCAGCTGACATGTTCTGGATTAGTGGTCTCGCCACTGAAAGAAAACATGAGTTTCGCCACTAAAGGCTTAGAACATACAGCCGATCTTTCAAGTTTTCAGGGGCTGTACACCGAGAAGAGAAAAGGGGTACTGATGGTTCCTGAGGTCCTCTCAGAACAGGGGGCGGAGTCCACATTCCCTCGCTTTAATTAGGCGGCACTGGCAGGGGCACAGGAGGCAAAGGGAGAGTAACAACAGGTTTGAAGGCCAGAAATTTTAATTAGAAAACAAAACACAAAGTTTAAAAGAAAAGAAAAATCGATGTGAAGCACGTGAGGAAATCACCAGAAGTAAACAACTGGAAAAACAATAAAGGGTTAGGATCCCCCATCAAGACACCTCCACCGCTCAAAAGCGTAGGCTGCAAACTGTCTGCAAGCGCCGAGGCCTTCAGGCACGCGGAACTCAAACACTCAGGCAGAAAAGGGAACCGGGAGCAGTTCCCGGGAACCCCTCCCGCCCCTCGCTTCAACTCCGCCCACCGGGCCCGCCCCATCCCGCCAGCTACTCACCGGATTCGCCTCCCACATAACGGTGGTGAAATCAAGCGGAGAGAGCCTGGGGAAAAGGGCTAGCCGCGGAGTCGGTGTGTTGGTTTTTTGTGAGGTCCCCAGGACCGAGAGGACAGAGAGGAACCCTTCACAGAGGCCTTCCTTCTCCCCCTCCCAGTCACAAGCTAGCGTCTTCAGACTACCGAACCTCACGACTTCCGCCCGAAGCCAGCCAATCAGCGCTGGCCCAGCCCCGCCCTCGGAAGTTTGCCCCGCCCCGTCGCCTCTTTCCGGGCTTCCGCCAGCAGTTGTGTGGACGGGGCTTGGTAATACCTGGGCAGTCGCGGAGTCGGAAGGATTTAAACTTCCTGCTTCAAAACTACGTTCACGCCGCCGCACCTACCGAGGGATCCTCAACTACAACTGATTCTATTTCCTTCCCATAGTACCGATGTTTATTGATCCCCTTATAGTGAGTGCAGTGGACAGGAGTCAGATACACTGAGAATTAATTATCTACCTGGACCTGTGACATTTGGGCAGGCTTCATTTCCTCATCTCAAAATGAAGATGATATTGTAATATCTAATATTTGTACCTAAAAGCGTAGTAAGATTATCGGAAGCAACTAGAGCAGTGTTTGGCATAATCAATGTTAAATAATTGATAATGAATGGCGAGACATTGCTGGGGTCCCAAATGAACATGAACCCTGCTCTCATGGGTTTTAAAATCTAGAGAAGGCAAGGAGTAGATAAGTAAAATTAAAAGATGCAATATGGTTCATAGCTCGTTCGTCAAGCACAAGCTTTTATAAGTGTGCTTACCTAGAATAGAGTTTCTTAAAAGATCTCTCAAGAGATGTAAACTAAAACTGCAATTACCTGGGTAAAGACAGCTAAGAGAGTGAAATAGTCTTAGAGACACAGAAGTAGTAGCTGTGCATAGGAAATAAAAATGAAAACACATATAATTCTTGTGGACTTTTGTAATCACACATTTTTTAAATGTTTTCAAAGCAACCCGGAATGGTGGTGCATGCCTATAATCCCAGCGCTCTGGGAAACTGAGCAGTAGGATCACAAGTTCAAGTCCAGCTCAGGCAAGTTACCAGTTTAATGAAAACCTGTCTCAAAATAGAAAAAAAAAAAAAAAACCTTTTAAAGGGATGGGGATGTAGCTCAGCACAAAAGCCCTGGGTTCCACAGTACCAAAACAAACAAACCAAAAATACCTACAGATCTAAAACTCGATTTTTACTTAATATGATGTAAGTATCCTTCAACAGCGGTATGGAAATGTGGCACGTACCTGGAATCCCAGTATTTAGGGAGACTGATGCAGAAGCATCATAAGTGATTCCTGTCTGGGAAACTTAGCTGACCATCTCTCCAAATTTGAAAAAAAAAGGAGCCTGGCTAACATTAGCCCTCTAGAAAGCTGAAGCAGTATCACAAATTTGAGCTCAAGTCTGCAATTTAGCGACTAAGCAAAACCTTTCTCAGAATAAAATATTTTAAAAGGGCCGAGGATATAGCTCAGTGGTAGAATGTCTCTGGGTTCTATCTCCAGTGCCTATTTTTTTTTTTAAAGAAAAGATCTATTATTTTAAAGTACACTGTTGGCATTTCATGGTTTGCATGTATGCATAATGCACACACATTTGATATAATCTACTATGACAAATTCAAGTGGTTTTCAATTTTATGCTATTCCAAAAAATGCTAAAATAAACCTTTCTATTTTTCTCTCACAGTACTGGAGCTTGAACCCACTGAGAGGCATCCCCAATTCCTATTTTTTTTCTTTATTTTGAGCCAGGGTTTTACTAAGTCAATAAATTGCTAGGCTCAAACTTGTGATCATCCTGCCTTAACCTCATTCTTGTACAGATACTGTACAGATACTGTTTTCATATTTATCCATTAACCTCTTCAGAATTAATTCTTAGAAATGAAATTATTTGATAAGCAATTATGGAAATTTTGCCAAATGGTTAGCCAATTGCCTTCATATCATTTTTTGAAGGATCACTTCTTTCCCCATTACTTTGTAGTGTCACCGCTAATCACAAAACTGAATTTGCATATATATATATATATATATATACACACTCACACACATATGTGTATACACACACAGGTGTGTTTTTGAACATTGTTGTGTATTCTGTTAACTATCTGCTTATGCCTACGCTATGCCACACTGCCATAATTATTAAAACTTTGTGATGTATTTGCTCTTTCACAAAAGATTACCTAATTTTCTTTACTTTCAAAATTTTCAAAATAATGAGTTCTCATTCAGGAACACATCTCTCTATGTAGTTAGATCTTCTTTTTTCTTTTTTGTGCTGGGAATTGAACCCAGGGCTCATGCCTGCCAACCATGCACCCTATCACTGAGCTATACCCAATTTTAGTTACTTTTCTTGTTGCTGAGACAAAATAACCAACACCCACAAGTTAAAGGGGAAAAGGTTATTTCAGCTCACAGTTTGTAGAGGTTTCAGTCCACAGTGGGCTAGCTCCAAGGCAGGGTGGCATGGCAGAGAGTCATGGCAGAGGAGAAACAGTCCTCATGGCAGGGCAGGCAGGTGGCAGCAAAGCCTGTCTTCCATCTTTCTCTTTATATTTCATCCAGGCTATAAACTATTGACTGGTGCCATCCACACCCAAGGTGGGGCTTCCATTATCCACATCCAGAACAATGGTAAATTAATTTAGTTATCACACACCCTTAATCTCAGTGTCGCACATCCTAATCCAGCATCACACACCCATGATCCTGGCAGCTCCAGAAAGCCCCACCTATATGTGGGTGAGGCTTTGGGGGAATATCTAGATGTAAGCTATAATAACCCCAATCCTTAGGTCTTTAATATCTATAGATACATTTAAATATATGTATATATATAATGTAAATTTGACAATTCTTGTGACATTTGTTCCTAGAATAGTTTTTTAATGAAGTATTTTTCATTTCTGTAATTTAGGAAATTTATTGTCTTTTATGTATTTATCATACCACATTGTCTTATTAGTTGTAAAACTATCAGTGGATCTCTGAATTTTGTGTAGACAGTCACATCACCTGCAAATAATACAGGTTTCTTTCTTTTCATTACATTGGCCAAAACTTAAGAAAAAAATTGAAGAATATAGAGGAAAATAATGCTTTAGGGCAATCAAACAAACATGTGACCTTTGTTGATGTTGAATATTCTTTAGAAACGTTATTGTCTTTTAAAATTTTGTTTCTAGTCCTAGATTGCCATAAGCCTTTAAATGGGAAAGGTTGTTAAATTTTTATCAACTGTCTCTTAGACTCATAATCACTTTATTCTGACTTATTAATATTGTGAATTACACTAAAATATTTCCTAATGTTCAATCCATTCTTACATTCCTGAAGTAAACTCTGCTTTGGATGTTGTATTATTATTATTAACTTTTTGTCTTTTTGAGACAGGGTTTCACTATGCAGTTCAAGCTGGCCTTGAGCTCACTCTACAGCCCAGGATGGTCTCAAACTTGCAACCATCTTCCTGCCTCAGCCTCCCAAGTGCTGGGATTACAGGTGTGTGCTACCATGCCTTGAATGTTATATTATTTTTTAATACCAGGCTTGGTTCAACTTTTTTTAATTTAGAGTAATATTTATAATTGGGTTTTGGGGAGTAGGTCAGTGATAGAGTGTTTAGGATGCACACAGGGCCCTCAATTTAATAAAAAATTAATTGTAAAATGTAATTGTCCATGATTACTGTTGTTCTTGTGATTGTCTAGTGAATTTTGGTATCCAAATAGTCTTGAACAGTAGCAATTTAAATTATTTAAAAATTAGCTCTCAAAGGTATAGTTTTGCTTTTACAAAGCAAATTTAATTAGTGAAATTAGGGCCACAGGCAGGATATTTCATGGGGCTGGAGCCATACTTCATTTCCTTGAAGCCTTGGGCTTGCCTGGGCTTGTGGTAGGGGAGTGGAGAGGACAAACTGGTATGGATATATTTTGGATAGATAAACCTTTAAAATATTCTGCTGTATCCCAAAATAATGGGAAGGGAACTGAAAATAGCTGTATGAATTTTAAAGGTAATTTTTTTCTTATTATTCCTGACTTAGGACCACTCAGTTAAAGAGTAAGTATGGGAAAGAATAGTGTAAATTATTATTTAGTCCAAGGGTCATAAACTGATAGCTAATAACTGTACAAAAATGGTGTGTATTTCTAGTCTTACTGCCACAAACAAGAGCTAATGAGCTTTAACACAGAGAGAACATTGCTAAAATTTTGACAAATGGCTACTGCTTTAAGACTGGGAACTTCACATGAATACATCTTCACCTCCACCTCTACCTTTGCAGCACACCAGCCCCCTGCCGAGGCCATGCTGCCCCCTTTAGACTGGGAATGGGGGTCTGTCTTTGCGGAAAATGACTTGTCTGGTCCCTTTTAGTTATGTGGGTTTGTAACTAATGATGATCTCACTTCTTATTTTGATGAGGAAATATAATGGACCTGAGACTTTATAAGTATCCTCATGGAAAAGGAATCAGTGCACCTTCACCCAGCTTTCTCACGGTGCCCAATGGTTGTGGCCCAAGCTCTCAGTCTGTCAGCAGATGACCCCTGGTGTGCAAAGCCTGCAGCTCTCCCTGTTACGTAGAGCCCAGTGCAGGAACACCTTCCTCTGCATCCTCGCGTCAGGCACTGGCCACAGCTGTAGACAGTGCCTGTGGACAGTAATTAGTTTTCTCGGGAAAATCAGACCTTTTGCTTTATCTTTCATATGTTCCAAGTGTGCTCTGGGTGGAGATGTCCAGGGATTCTTGATGGAAACATTTTTAGATTTTCCAGTGCCTGGAGAGCTAGAGTAGATGGAAAAGAACCAAGGACAGTGGCACCCACCTATAATCCCAGCACCGCGGTAGTCTGAGGCCGGAAGACTGTAAGTTGGAGCCCAGCCTGAGCAGTTTATTGATTTATTGAGACCCTGTATCAAAATAATAATAAAAAATTTCTTAAGAGCTGGGAACATAGCTTGGTGACAAGGCCATAGTTTCTATGTTGAATACCAAAAACAAACAAATAAACGGAGGGGCTTCTCACCCGAAAGCATGAAGTAATCAGATGGAAGAAAAAAGTCGATGAATGAAGAGGGGGCAAGTTGAATTTATGGGAGCAAAATTAATATCCCCTTAGGCAGTAGGAG